ATTTTATGAACTGTGAAATCATCTTACTGGTATAAGGCAGTTCCTGATTGAGTCTGAATATCTAGCTCTAACTAGACACTGATTTTATACTGTGAACAAAATCAGAGACCTATTCAAATATGTTATAAATGCACACATGGTAGCACAAGAGAAAGAAACGAAACAACAAATACCTCCAAAGAGATGATAAGAAAATAAGACAAGAATTGTTCATATAAAATTCTTTGTATTGCCAATAGGAAGGATGTAGATGTCTTTTTGTAGGCAAGAAAGATCTGTAATGTAATCTATTCTGACTAGACATCTTGACCAGTTACTTTCTCACTGATGTAATGTGGCTTCCCTCTCTCTTTTTTACAAATATTTTCATGTCAACTCCTCTAACAAGCTTTTTTTCCCTGGTGCCCAGATTACATCAATACATGCTACAGGATTGGCATCTAGGTCCCACCCATTGAAATAGCTAAATGCAACTGCCACTTCTACTCCAACAGTTTCTTTTCTCGCACTTCCCACTTGTGGAATTCTCTTCCTTTTCACTACAATTTTTAAAAATTTAAATACAATCTCAGTTGCTATCTTCTGTCTTCTTGAATCCCGATTTTATGGCAGTCAAGGACTATCCTGGATATGACAATAAAATACAGCTGGTAGGAAGGCCTCTGATCATGAGGTTTTGAGGAGTATAAAACCACTTCTTAATGACTGTTGTTCACAGGTCAACTCTGACCCAGTTTTGTAGCACTTGTTAGGGTCCCAGCTAAGATCAAATAGTTAGCCCCCAAACTGGGGTCAAAACACTATGAAAGCATAAAAATATATTTTTATAGTAAAAATACCAACAATAAATTTTTGTAAAAAAAAATAATGACCAATTCGTTATTGTAAAGACAAAAATTTCAAAGTTCCCAAGAAAATTAAATTTTGGCATTAAACATTCTATAAAGATTTGATATGCCACTAAACAACAAACAGCAGCCAATGAAGAAAAATATATAGACAAAATTTGATTTAAATTAATGATCTGGAGAACCATTTTGTTTTGATAAGTAGTGTTTTGTATAGGTTTTTGTCATGTACAAAGCTATAAAATTGCAAAATCCTATTTATAGAATTTCAAATATCGACTAGAAAAAATTTCTTCATAAATGATCCATATTCGACTTCTGTTTAATCTTGGAATTTTGGAATTTAAAATTTATTTCATTTACTGAAATAAATGGGATTTTAGACACATGATAGCAGAGAATCTCATCTGACTTATAGAAATAAAAATCTAAGATATATTTTCTTTGATTGATAAAATCTACAAATAGCATGTACTTTAATGTAACAAAAAGAATTTCAATTACATTTTATCAGGAGACCTAAATTAATTCAGCAGAATTTTATTGTTTTTATTGTTTAAGAGCATTTATTAAAACTATCATAGAAAAAGTACTGTTATCAAACAGTTAAAGTATTTTTTTGTTTTCTGTGATTAAATATTCTGTATCTAATCATTCATAACTATCTTGGTAGCCATCTTAACTGGGCATCAAGAGGTGGGAAGACATTGCCAATGATTACTCATGCAGAAGACATGATTTACACTAAGGACCAGAGTGAGGAGAGGTGAAACTGAGGCTTGCTGTCAAACAGAAGTGTGTTCGATGAAAAGAATGGAACACAGTGACATTGGGTGAGAGTGTCTTAACATGCAACCACTGCAATCAAGAGTGTTACACTCAAGACTGAAAGATGCCATATATATATATATATATATATATATGTATAGGTGATATAGAATATTTGAACAAAATTCAAAATAATAAAAAATCATGGAAAAACTATTCAGCTATACATTTCAGCCCTTATAGTAAACATCTTCAGGCTGGAATGAGAGACACACCCTGTACATTAAAGCGTTGTATCCTTAAAAAGGTTAAAAACAGAAAAAAGTGGTACTTGAGTGAAGGAACAGCAACATGCACATAGATGAAAGAAAGAGAAGTTTATTTAAAAGTGAATACAATACTGAAAGACAGGGAATCGGGTGGCAAGCCCCCAGGTATATCCTGTGCTCACTATATATAGCTACTGATATAGTCAGTCCACATAGGCAGTACGGAGTGTGGGACATTCCATTACAACAAAAAGTGTGCTTCAATATGGAGAAGAGGTAATAAAGATCCTTATCAAATGTCAGTCATCTTTATGTTTTTCATACTGAAGCCAGTATCAACTGCTAGTTTTTAAATTTAGCCCATTTCAAGCAGATTTTTTTCTTTCTCTATTACTCAATATGCCACATTGTGTTATTAATATATGTACACTGATAGTGCATCCTGTATAGGAGCCCAGTCTTAGTTTAATCATAATGAATTTTGTGATCAGCACACTTTCAATGCATTTTCATCTGAGTAAATTCTTTTCTCTTTTAATTAGACTGGTATTTCTCAAGTTAAAATTATGGTCAGATATGTTACATTGAATTACCAGTACATTGAAAGTGTTATTCTGCAATAGATACTTTCAATTCATGTATATTCTATTCTTTTAAAGATTTCTGGATGTTTCACTAGTGTATGCCATTGGGCATTAGTGCCGTTCATTTTGTAATTCCTCCTTCTTGTTTATTATCATGGCTATTTTCTGTGCTGTCTATATAATTTACTGTTTTAGAGGTGGTGCTGATAGATTTTACATAAGTTATTTTCCTTGGTAGCTGTTATGGATTTTGGTAGATAGAACCTAATTTTGTTGGGGTTGCTGGGATCATTATTATCTATGAATTTTGCAGGTGTATTTTTTTTAAACATTTCATCTAAGTAATCAAGCCACTAGAATGCAAGTGATTATTGATTGTGAGAGAATATGAGTAAAAGAAAACATTAAAGACTTAAACACACAGTCAAAAAAACAACTATCCAAGAAGGCAGAATGTAAAGACTGATGCTATGGAGAATAAACATTCCAGTGATTGTAGAAATCAAGTGAAATCAGTGTCATCAAGTTGACAAGCAGTAATGAAAAATAAATGTAACAACACCAAATATTGATTTTAAATAACTTTTTTCACAGGGGTGTACTTATTTTGGGAATTATTTATATTTTTGCTTACAGACTTTTGTTGTAGTAGAGTTTAGCAAAAATACCTAATAATTTAATTGTGTAATATTTCACTAAAAAAATAAAAACCTGGTGTTAATTAATGTTTTATAAAAAAATTGGGTGATATATACTTACAGGTAATAATGTATATAATTTATAAATTTATTATAAGAATATTACATAACATGGTGCACCAATGTCTAACACATTACATGAAACTATTACTTTAATTTCAATCTGAAATAAATGTTTAGTAATGAATTAAATACATTATAAGCTAATCATGATTTTTCTTGTTGCATTCAATTTTACATTGTTTTGTGGGAAAATATATATCATAATAATTGGATAGTGTTTTTCAATACAGACTTATCAATATGGGGATTAATTAACAATGTGTTTGTGCCTGTATATATATATATATATATATATATATATATATATATATATATATATATATATATATATATATATATATATATATATATATATATATATATATATATATATATATATATATATATATATATATATTATTGATCCCTGTATTTTTTTGAACTTTTTTATAAGTCTGTATCAAAAAACACTATCCAATTATTATGGTAAATATTTCATATATATGTGTATGTGTGTGTGTATGTGCTTCATTAAATATGACAGTCAAGGAATATTTAATTAATTTTTATTTAGTTTTTCATCATTCTTACATTTTTTGCCTTTAATGGGAGTAAGGAAATGCAAGCTCTGAATAAACGTTCCTACTAGTATTCAAAATAACACAAAAACACATCTTATGCACTCAAACATGAAAAGAAATTAACACCCCAAAACAAATCTTCTTGAAAATGGCTAAAGATGTAGCTGAATGCACTTGGAACAATGGACAATATGGACAATTTTTGCTCTCTCTTACTCCCGCCAAAAGGGAAAATGTAACAATGCTGGAAAAATTAAATAAAATGTTAATGAAATTTTCCTTGTCTTTCATATTCAATGAAACTTGTTTAAAAGAAATGTTTCTGACCAAATATATATATATATTAATATTTCCCCTTTTCTAGCAAGATTAATGCTCGACAAACATACATATAAGATTTAGATCAAAATAAAATTATTTTTGTTTTTCATTCAAAATACTCAAATTTTAGGAATACATTTTCACAACACCGCCCACGTGATGACGACGTGATCATATTCAAACGGAACGCTGATCTTATAAAGATTTCAGTTATCTGTTTGGATTGGTATTGCTTTTATGTCCATCGTCTTTTTCATGTTGAATTGTATATGGTCTATGTTAATTATGTTTTATGAATATGTCCTGAAGATGGTCTATTAGACCAAAACGTTCGGCGTTGACATTAAACATTAAGACAGCGCATATTAGGATTTTTGTTTGTTTTTTCAGTATATTTTTCTTCATATATATATATATATATATATATATATATATATATGGTCAAATCACGCTGAAACACCGGTTCTCGTTTGATCACCGAAGTTAAGCATCGTAGAGCCAGGTCAGTACTTAGATGGGGGACCGCTTGGGGAACACCTGGTACTGTAAGACCCCCAAAGTCCAACCCTTACCTCACAGTTGGTGGGGGGGTGTAAACGGTAGTGTCAGACCTATGCCGCCCGGAACTTCGTTCCTGGTAGGGCCACCCAAGGCGGACAGGTCTGACACACACGCCAGCTAACAAGGGCTCTGGGGAAAATCCAAGGAGCGTCTGCATCGGTAACCGGCGGCTTCTGGTCGATTTCCTGTCTCTGCGTCTGTGGGAATCCCTTGCAAGCAAGAACGTTATTCGAGTAGGCCTGGGTACCCTACTTCTGTAATTTATCCCAAGAATCTTCTTCTCACAACAGGAAGGAGCCGGCTCAATCCGCCCAGGGTGAATGCCGCATCAGTACAGTACAGTATATAAATAGATAGATAGATAGATAGATAGATAGATAGATAGATAGATAGATAGATACAGTAATAATTTGTACATTAAGAAGCTTAACATATATATATATATATCAACTCTTTAAGCTTCTTAATGTACAAATACAAATTATTACTGTAATTATCTTATTTGTTAGTTTTTGGATTTCATTATGGAGACTTAATTTTTTAAATTTTCTTATCATTTTAATTGGAGATAGTTGTTGCTTATAACCTAAGTGATTTACTATAGAAACACATTATTATAATCCATTTTCTGCCAGTATTTTCACAAGTTAAGAAATTATATTTCATCTTCTTCTATGTGCTGTGTCCCTTCAAGTCATCATACCTCTCCACTACTTCCTATTCTTTCTTGCTATTAGCAGTGTTTTTTTTTACTTTTTCTATCTCCCTCCCTCTTTGTTCTTTTATCCATTTACACAAGCTTGTTAAGTAGCTTACTCATTAAAAGTTACAATGGTATATGACAACTGTTATACATTATGAACTAGTACCATACTAAAAATAATTGCTATAGCAGTGTCCAACTCTTCCCAGATGTTGCTGATTCACTTGCAGATGTCTTCAAGCTATGGTTTTCTTATTCTGCCACCCACTGTGTAGTTGTGATTTATTTTCCTTTGTTGCAATATACCTTCAAGTACATATTATCTCTCTGGTAAAAAAATAAATCCAATTTGACCCGATTTTGTCCATTTTAAGTCCTGGGAAAAATGGGATTGATTTCTAAACCAAATCATAAAATGGAGCAGACTTCTGGACATGATTTCTGATGAAAACACCTGCATCTTTTACACACAGGATTATGGTAATTTTAAAAATGATGTAAGTAAGTAAGTAAGTATGTACATATGTATGTATGCATGTATGTATGTAGCCTTGTAAGTGAAATTGGGTAGACGGAACCCCTGGGTGTTGTTGATAGTTGTGCAAAGTCACAAGTCCCTGTGGATGAGGGCTTGAGCATGCTGGCCTTGTTCAAATTGTTGATTATGCTAGATAACATGCTCTTTCCCAGAAACTGTAAGTAAGGTCTGCTAAGCATAGTTGCAGTATGAACCACAGGTGGGCTCTGTGGGTGTTGAATAAACACAAATGTGCCTGAACAAGCGTCTGCAATAGGGATTGGCTAGCCACCCTAGTAGATAGGTATCCTTCAATATGAGTGGCCAGCCATATCTATATATGTATGTAGGTAAGCAGCAAACAATTAATTCATTAATTAATTAATTATTTTTGGGATACTGACAAAGAACTAAGAAATTACACTGTAGAAAATGAAAGAGCAACTGTTTAGTTTAGAAATGCAACTAAAGGAAATAGTTTACTGTAATTGGCCACAAGTCAAATGTCCTATCACTTTCATCTTTGTCTACTGCTTAGTCCAGCTAATCCCAAATTCTAATAGCAAACTCTTAGGCAGGACTTCACTTAACTTTGAATTATATACAGTTTTAAGGCATCAAAGTAGTTGTGACCAAAATTAAAAGGAAGAGTGTATGGTTCTTGATTCTTTGATCTATTAGGTTTGTTTGGGGAAAAACATTTGATTTTAGAATAAACCTTTTGTGTACCCATCCTGGGTATGACAATAAACTACATCCACATCCTGGATAAGACAATAAACTATGTCCAGCAGCAAGGCCTCTGATAAGAAGGTTTTGAGGAGCGTGGAACCTCTTAATTGATGGTGTTCCCAAGTCCACCTTGACCCAGGGTGGTAGCACCTGTTAGGGTCTCATCTATGGGCATATAGTTAAACCTGAAACTGGAGTCAAAACACTAGGAAAGTGTAAAAATAGATTTTAATACCAGAAATACTTTGTAAAAAATTATTACCAGCAGTAAATTTTTTAACAAAAAAGCTATTACCAACAATACATTTTTGAAAAAAATATATTACCAACAATACGTTATTGAAAAAAAAATATTACCAGCAATACATTTTTGGAAAAAAATATTACCAGCAATACTTTTTTGAAAATAAAATTGTTACCAGCAATACATTTTTGAAGGAAAAAATTATTACCAGAAATAGATTTTTAACTAAATAAAATATTACCAGCAATAAAAATTTTGTCTGCATTAAATAACTCATTGAGGTTGATATGCCATAAAACAAAATAAACCAAACCAAACCTTTTGTGTTATAATAGTAATTGCACAAAAATATATTACTCATTCCTAAAAATTAAACCGCCCTCTTTGTTAATTTTATATCAATCTATTATTTCAGAATTTAACTTAAAACATTATATACTTAAACACTTTTCAAAACTGAAATTGCATCAGTAGAAGATTATGGTGACTGTCTTGTGGTCTACCATTGTTATTATCCATTACAGCATTTTAGAATTTAACCAGAGCATTACTGCTGAATTTTACTGTCAACAACTGGATAAAATACACATTCAGTTAAGAAAAAGGCAACTTGCACTGGTTAATCAATGAAGAATTTCATGACCATGCTCAATAACGTCTTGCCAAGATGACACTACAGAAGCCGACCACTTGGGATACAAAACTTTGCCACATCTTCCATCTTCCTCTGAGCTTGCAACAACTGATTACCACTTTTTCAAGCATCTTGAAATATTTTAAGCCAAAAGACATTCCATTGCAAAGAAGATGCAGAAACTGCATTCAAAGATTTCTTGATATCTAAACCTTTAGAGTTTTATCATAAAAGTATAAATAACCTTGTAACCAATGACAGAAATGTATAGATTTTCATAGTTGTTATTTCAACTTATTTACACAGTGTGTCAATACTTTAATTCTAAAACTGGACATTATTTTATGAATAACCTAATATATAATATTATATTTCTGTATTTGTTTTGTGTCCATGCAAGTGGCATAAAGTGTACTTATCCTCCTCCTCCACATCATCATAATTATTACTCAGAAGAATATCAAAGTCAGATTTTCTTTTGATAAATGTTACACAAATTTCCACCACTGATCGGATGTGAATGCTCTGAAACCCAAGACTGAACTAAAAATTCCGTCAACTGCACATCGGCTCCGCACATAGCTTACATTTTACTTACACACACACAAAAAAAATACCATCCAGAATTTCCAACAAATAGCACCGACTCCCACCTAAAGAAACAAAATGAAAATTGGAGCCAATCTGAGCCTAAGAAAAGGACATAAAAGCCCATCAAGGGGACATCTTCAGCAGTCGGATGGCACACCAGCCAGGCTTCACAACGCTTGTTGGAACACAACCTCTCATCTCCAAAGGCAACTCGCCAAAGGTCATCGCTGCAGTAAATCACAACTCACCCTCCCTCTCCTACTGTACACCTCTGTGGACAACTTTTACAATTCTACTTATCTCTTTCTTTCAACAAGAGACATTTACACTGATTTACTATTTGTTGTATTTTTTATGATAATAATACATTTGTTTATTTCTTAAACCTCCATTGTTTCTTCTTTGTTCTGCCACCATATGCTTTATATAACAACTATTGTATTATTAACATAAAAATACAATAAATGGTAAATTGATGTAAATGTCTCTTGTTGAAAGAAAGAGATAAGTAGAATCATAAAAGTTGTCTGCTGAGGCATACGGTAGGAGAGGGAGAGTAAATTGTGACTTACTGCAGCAACAGTTTTTTGGCGAGTTGTCTTTGGAGATGAGAGGTCACATTCCAACAAGCATTGTGAATCCTGGCTGTTGTGCCATCCAATTGCCAAAGATGTCCCTTTGATGAGCTTTTATGTTCTTTTCTTAGGCTCAGATCAGCTCCAATTTTTATTTTGTTTCTTTAGGTGGAAGTGGGTGCTATTGGGTGGAAATTCTGGATGGTATTTTTCTTTGAGTGTGTAAGTAAAATGGAAGTTATGTGCAGAGTCATTGCACAGTTGATGGAATTTTTCATTCAGTCTTAGGTTTTGGAGTGTTCACATCTGGCCAGTGGTGGAAATTTGTATAACATGAAGCAGAAGAAGATCTGGTTTTAGGAAGATTATAACATTGATTTACACAGTGTTTCAATATTTTAATTCTAAAATTGAACATTATTTTCTGAATAAACTAATATATAACATTATATTTCTGTATTCCTTTTGTCTCCATCCAAGTATAATTCTCCTTCTCCTCCTCCTCCTCATCATCATCATTATTATTCAGAAGAATAACTATTATCATCATAATGGAAATTCAAAAGAATTATCAATACATAGAACATCATCATGATCTTCAAAGTGATTTAGCCAATTAAGACCCAGTATCATCAAGTGATGAGTCATTGAAAGTAGAGCTTCATTGACCAGGAACACATCACCCTTCACACCATTGCTTCACTAACATCTCCCACACACCCAAACCTTATGGTGTTGTCATCTCTTAAGGGACAAAGAAATTAGATTCCTGTGTAGAATTTTCACGTTACAGAAATTTTTTAGCTTCCAGTAAGTGTTGCGAAGAGAGTATTATTTACTTATTCTGAAAGTTTCCTTTTTCATGTTCAGACATTTTATTTCTCTCCCTTTCTAAGTCAGTATATACTTCTGTCACACACAATATATATTTGTATATGTGGATATGTGTAATCACTGTCTCTATATATCAATATGCCCTACTCTACACCTTCTCATTATATATTTATATATATATATATATATATATATATATATATATATATATATATATATACATGTGTATATATATATATATATATATATATATATATACACACACATGTATGATTTTTATTTTATATATGTATACAATATAAAAAATATTAATAGATTCATTGGACATAAAGTGCAAAACCAACAAAACTTATAAAATTATAATATATTCTATTAGATATTAAATGTGAATATTTATTGAGAAAAGAAAACACACAGTATAAGTGTGTAAGCAATAAGTAATAATTTAAAAAAATATTCCCAAGTAGAAAATCATAACATATAGTATGGTGGTTTGGCTGTTATATATATATATATATATATATATATATATATATATATATATATATATATATATATATATATATCATATAGTACTTCATCAAGCCTAGAATAATCCTCAACAGAATGTAGAAAGCACTTGACGGCTGTTTCATCCTATCCTTGGATAGCAACTCATCTTGGAGAAGGAAAATTCTGAATTCAAACCAGTCTGAAAAGGGTTGGGCTTTGTCAGGTAGTCTTGCTCAAGTCACACCACTTCTGCTACAGCTACAGTACATGTGGTGCCTCTCAGACCCTTAATGGCTTACAAGACTCAAGAAATCATGAATATATATATATATATATATATATATATATATATATCATTCACAGACAGTACTGTTTGACTGTATCACAGCTTCTCGGTGAGACTAGACATCCAAAGGCTTCAAGCCAGGACCAAAACATGACTGATTTGGTGTCAGTTGGAGTTTCTACCTTTAAGCCATCATCACTTGGCAGAGAGAAACAGCTAATTCTAGCATATTGTTTTTTACGAATATAAACAAATGCAGTCAGTTCTCCAGTTCAGTTTACTGAAGAGCTTTTGCATTAGCATATATATATATATATATATATATATATATATATATATATGATGTTGTACATTAGGATTAAAAGTATGGATAAACTGTCAGAAGTTTTTGTTTTATTCTGTTTTTGTTCAAGTACTTTCAACCACCTCAGTCATTATCAAGAACTGGATGTTGTCAGTATGGTAAATGAGATTGTATTGCCTACATCCTTGCAATTTTTAGAGTGACTTCTACAAACAGAAGGAAACATGAACTTTGGACAGTTTATCCAACAGTTTGACCCTGATGTGTAATATCTTATGTGAAAACTGGAAAAATGCAATAAAACATTAAACAGGCCTTGTCAATTGGATTTCACAAAAAAATTTGGGACATAAAAAAAGTAAGGAAAGAAGAGGTAAGAAAACTGTGTTGCACCAGTCTTCTTATGGGAAGCACTTGACTATTTTAAAAATCAGCATTCAAAATCCTAATATTTGAGCTCCAACACTTATGGTAATGAGAAATACCCAACTACTTTGCCAGCAGATCCCCCCCCCCAACAAAACTACTGTCTATATTCTGTTGGTGACTAATCCATTAAATTTGGAAACTGTCAACTGAAACATTTCATTACAAATTAATCTGTACTGACAAGACTCCATATCTAGATTGTAACCTCCAGCCTTCTTTACATGTCTTTCATATTCAGTAACTTTATGAGAATTTTGAATCAAATCCTTTATTGAATCAACAGAGGCAGATTGTTCTCATGCCACTCTCCTTGCCGAAGAGATGTATCTTTCTCACTTTATAAGTTATAGAGTCACAGACTCACCATGCTAGCATTGCTGTTGTTGTGTCCTTAGCAAGTAGGCTTTTTACAGGGTACAGTTGCCAGCCCAATGTTCAACTAGTTTTGAATTCAAAGTCATCGTTCTCTTAGACTGCTTGTCAACCAAAGCTAGAGAGTCTAGTCTACCCTCTTATTTACTCCCAAGCTGGGGGGGGGGCTAAAAGAAAGGGATTAACACCTTTCTAAAGGGTATTCATGGGAAAAAAGAATACAAAAACATCATTTAGAATTTGAATTCACCCTATAGATAACAACTATGCTAGGTACATATCTCATTGCTAAAGGACATGCTACCACATCTGCTCTATATATTTAGAGATTCTTGATAAAGTACAAAGAATAATCTGCAATGTTATTGGTCCTGACCTTGTGTCTCAGCTTTCCACCACCTTAATGTAGCTTCCTGTGCCTTTTCTGTAAATATTTCCATTATATTTTTTTTTTTTTTGGTATCCAGACTTTATGAATATAAGTGAAATACTAGATTGACGTCAAGGTCTCATCACTTTACAGTTGAAATGGTTAGATCTATCTGTAACTTCTATGCTAACAGTTTCTTATGTCATACTTATCACTTGGGGGAACTCTCTTCCAGCGTTTTGGTTTTCCTTTAAACTTTGATCTTCAAAAATTTAAATGCAATGTCATCTTGACTCCTCTTCTTTTATATTTTCTCTTTTCCTAATAGTGTTTCTTTTTTCTTACATTCTCTCACACACAGTAATCCCCTGAATTTTAGTGGCTTTTAAAAAATCAGTGAATTTTTTTCTTGTTACTTTGTTCTTGTGACATTGCTTTTTACTTTTTCCACTGAACCAAAATATCTAAACTAGGGATTGAACCCAAGACAAGTAGATTTTTTTCTCACTAGGCTATTGTCATAGTGTAATTGTAAAAATTTGCTATTATGAATAGAATTTGGCTTGAAAATTTCCAGCTTATCAAATATGGCACACTTAAAGTATGCAAGAGGATTTGACAGCAAAAATATTGTAACTGTTGACTAGAGGCAGATACTAGTCTGAATTGGTTACTGTATTATTAGGATAATTACTTGTGTTTTTGACATATCAGAAAGATTGGAAATTAAACTACAGTAAACATCCAGAAGTATCATTATTGTTTTTTGCTTTTATTTCTTTCTTTCTGTCACCAAATTTATATTAGTTTTCCTCACAACTTTCAGAGTCATATTCTAAGAGTGTTACATCAGGAGTGTGGTTCAGGGAAAAAATAATAAAACTCTCACAAGATTAAAAATCATTGCCTTATCAATAGGAATGTGTGATTCCATGTCCTTGCTATGGAGCCTTTACTTAGAAGGCATTACTCATTTTCTTTTCTTTGGTTTTGACTGTACCATTATACTGTTTATTTAAATACAGTATTAGCAGCAATAGGCTTTGAATTTTTTAGATATAGCATTAATATCATTAATATATTTGTCATTCTTTTATTTTTTCTGTTGCTTTTTATTATAACTCCCAGACATATGTATATTCTGCAACTGTTAAATAAACATCAATGAATACATCTAATCTTGCTAGGTGTAAAGAAGCTAAATAAACATCATATACAATAAAAATTAACCAATAATCTTCTATGTCTGTTATTCAGACATTTTCAGAGCAAACGCTGTAAAAGCTCTGAAATGGATACAAAACACACATTCAACCATTTAATTCTGATTAAAAAATAATTTCTAAACTAGATTTATTTAAACCTTTTTTTAGCTATTTTAATGCTTCAATATGTTCAGCCTGTCATTAGACATTTGGTTATTTTTCTAATATGTAAGTTTCAATGTACAGGAGTAAATTTTTACTTTATAAAATCACTCATTGCAAAATTTTTGTATATACAAAGTTGTTGGCACCTGCCATTGAGGATGGTTTAGTAAGGTTTTTACAAGATTCCATCTCTTGATGCTCCCCTATTGTGGCCTTTTGCCAGACTAAATCAAACTGAGTAGATATTTACTCTGGACACCTGTCATATCCATGGTATGAGATTTAGTGCCTCCAGCACTAGATCTCATGTTCATGAGTTCAATTCTTACTGAATGCCTCACTATTGTAGCCTTGTGCTTCACTAGTGTTAGAGGCTATTGTTTATAAGCTCAGTTCTAACTCAATACATAGCTATTGTGGCTTTGTACCAGATGAAAAGGTTAGTGAATACCTAAATACTCCTGATGTTGAATGTGGTGAATGTACAAGGGAGAGCTGAAAATTATTTCACCTGACTAAGAAGTTCTTTCATGCTCTTCTAATGTTTTGGCCATTTGGTCATATTTTAGGAAGTATGTCTGGTTGAAGACTTTTCAGCACCACTTTGCACAATAGAAACTTTAGATTTGAACATTTTATTTTTCTGTTCTTTTTTAATGATGACTCCTTTTTTTTAATTTTATTTTTAAATTTTGTGCAATGAACTTGGTTTCTACTACATAATTTGAAATCATATTTGAATTGTGGAATAATAGATATTGGCTCAAAATGAGATATTGAAATCATACGTGCATTGTGGAATAATAGATATTGGCTCAAAATGAGATATTGAAATCATACGTGCATTGTGGAATAATAGATGTTGGCTCAAAATGAGATATTGAAATCATCGTGCATTGTGGAATAATAGATATTGGCTCAAAATGAGATATTGAAATCATACGTGCATTGTGGAATAATAGATATTGGCTCAAAATGAGATATTGAAATCATACGTGCATTGTGGAATAATAGATGTTGGCTCAAAATGAGATATTGAAATCATACGTGCATTGTGGAATAATAGATATTGGCTCAAAATGAGATATTGAAATCATGGAATAACGTGCATTGTGGAATAATAGATATTGGCTCAAAATGAGATATTGAAATCATACGTGCATTGTGGAATAATAGATATTGGCTCAAAATGAGATATTGAAATCATACGTGCATTGTGGAATAATAGATATTGGCTCAAAATGAGATATTGAAATCATCGTGCATTGTGGAATAATAGATATTGGCTCAAAATGAGATATTGAAATCATACGTGCATTGTGGAATAATAGATGTTGGCTCAAAATGAGATATTGAAATCATACGTGCATTGTGGAATAATAGATATTGGCTCAAAATGAGATATTGAAATCATACGTGCATTGTGGAATAATAGATATTGGCTCAAAATGAGATATTGAAATCATCGTGCATTGTGGAATAATAGATATTGGCTCAAAATGAGATATTGAAATCATACGTGCATTGTGGAATAATAGATATTGGCTCAAAATGAGATATTGAAATCATACGTGCATTGTGGAATAATAGATATTGGCTCAAAATGAGATATTGAAATCATACGCATTGTGGAATAATAGATATTGGCTCAAAATGAGATATTGAAATCATACGTGCATTGTGGAATAATAGATATTGGCTCAAAATGAGATATTGAAATCATACGTGCATTGTGGAATAATAGATATTGGCTCAAAATGAGATATTGAAATCATACGTGCATTGTGGAATAATAGATATTGGCTCAAAATGAGATATTGAAATCATACGTGCATTGTGGAATAATAGATGTTGGCTCAAAATGAGATATTGAAATCATACGTGCATTGTGGAATAATAGATATTGGCTCAAAATGAGATATTGAAATCATACGTGCATTGTGGAATAATAGATATTGGCTCAAAATGAGATATTGAAATCATACGTGCATTGTGGAATAATAGATATTGGCTCAAAATGAGATATTGAAATCATACGTGCATTGTGGAATAATAGATATTGGCTCAAAATGAGATATTGAAATCATACGTGCATTGTGGAATAATAGATGTTGGCTCAAAATGAGATATTGAAATCATCGTGCATTGTGGAATAATAGATATTGGCTCAAAATGAGATATTGAAATCATACGTGCATTGTGGAATAATAGATATTGGCTCAAAATGAGATATTGAAATCATACGTGCATTGTGGAATAATAGATATTGGCTCAAAATGAGATATTGAAATCATACGTGCATTGTGGAATAATAGATATTGGCTCAAAATGAGATATTGAAATCATCGTGCATTGTGGAATAATAGATGTTGGCTCAAAATGAGATATTGAAATCATATTGTGCATTGTGGAATAATAGAATTGGCTCAAAATGAGATATTGAAATCATACGTGCATTGTGGAATAATAGATATTGGCTCAAATGAGATATTGAAATCATACGTGCATTGTGGAATAATAGATATTGGCTCAAAATGAGATATTGAAATCATACGTGCATTGTGGAATAATAGATATTGGCTCAAAATGAGAATTGAAATCATTGCATTGTGGAATAATAGATATTGGCAAAAAAATGAGATAAATCATACGTGCATTGTGGAATAATAGATATTGGCTCAAAATGAGATATTGAAATCATACGCATTGTGGAATAATAGATATTGGCTCAAAATGAGATATTGAAATCATACGTGCATTGTGGAATAATAGATATTGGCTCAAAATGATTGATATGGAATGAAATATTGGCTCAAAATGAGATATTGAAATCATGCATTGTGGAATAATAGATATTGGCTCAAAATGAGATATTGAAATCATACGTGCATTGTGGAATAATAGATGTTGGCTCAAAATGAGATATTGAAATCATACGTGCATTGTGGAATAATAGATGTTGGCTCAAAATGAGATATTGTGCATTGTGGAATAATAGATATTGGCTCAAAATGAGATATTGAAATCATACGTGCATTGTGGAATAATAGATATTGGCTCAAAATGAGATATTGAAATCATACGTGCATTGTGGAGATATCAAAGATGTTGGCTCAAAATGAGATATTGAAATCATACGTGCATTGTGGAATAATAGATATTGGCTCAAAATGAGATATTGAAATCATACGTGCATTGTGGAATAATAGATGTTGGCTCAAAATGAGATATTGAAATCATACGTGCATTGTGGAATAATAGATGTTGGCTCAAAATGAGATATTGAAATCATACGTGCATTGTGGAATAATAGATATTGGCTCAAAATGAGATATTGAAATCATACGTGCATTGTGGAATAATAGATATTGGCTCAAAATGAGATATTGAAATCATACGTGCATTGTGGAATAATAGATATTGGCTCAAAATGAGATATTGAAATCATACGTGCATTGTGGAATAATAGATATTGGCTCAAAAAATTGAAATCAGATGCATTGTGGAATAATAGAATCAAATGAGATATTGAAATCATACGCATTGTGGAATAATAGATATTGGCAAAATGAGATATTGAAATCAAAATGGAATAATAGATATTGAAATGAGATATTGAAATCATACGTGCATTGTGGAATAATAGATATTGGCTCAAAATGAGATATTGAAATCATACGTGCATTGTGGAATAATAGATATTGGCTCAAAATGAGATATTGAAATCATCGTGCATTGTGGAATAATAGATATTGGCTCAAAATGAGAAAATGAGATAATAGAAATCTTAAATGAATTGTGCATTGTGGAATAATAGATGTTGGCTCAAAATGAGATATTGAAATCATACGTGCATTGTGGAATAATAGATGTTGGCTCAAAATGAGATATTGAAATCATAATGCATTGTGGAATAATAGATGTTGGCTCAAATGAGATATTGAAATCATGCGGCACGTGGAATATTGTGGAATAATAGATATTGGCTCAAAATGAGATATTGAAATTGAAATCATATGCATTGTGGAATAATAGATATTGGCTCAAATGAGATATTGAAATCATACGCATTGTGGAATAATAGATATTGGCTCAAAATGAGATATTGAAATCATACGTGCATTGTGGAATAATAGATATTGGCTCAAAATGAGATATTGAAATCATACGTGCATTGTGGAATAATAGAAAAATGAGATATTGAAATCATCATTGTGGAATAATAGATATTGGCTCAAAATGAGATATTGAAATCATACGTGCATTGTGGAATAATAGATATTGGCTCAAAATGAGATATTGAAATCATACGTGCATTGTGGAATAATAGATATTGGCTCAAAATGAGATATTGAAATCATACGTGCATTGTGGAATAATAGATATTGGCTCAAAATGAGATATTGAAATCATACGTGCATTGTGGAATAATAGATATTGGCTCAAAATGAGATATTGAAATCATACGTGCATTGTGGAATAATAGATATTGGCTCAAAATGAGATATTGAAATCATACGCATTGTGGAATAATAGATATTGGCTCAAAATGGAATAATTGTGGAATAATAGATATTGGCTCAAAATGAGATATTGAAATCATCGTGCATTGTGGAATAATAGATATTGGCTCAAAATGAGATATTGAAATCATACGTGCATTGTGGAATAATAGATATTGGCTCAAAATGAGATATTGAAATCATACGTGCATTGTGGAATAATAGATATTGGCTCAAAATGAGATATTGAAATCATACGTGCATTGTGGAATAATAGATATTGGCTCAAAATGAGATATTGAAATCATACATGCATTGTGGAATAATAGATGTTGGCTCAAAATGAGATATTGAAATCATAATGCATTGTGGAATAATAGATATTGGCTCAAAATGAGATATTGAAATCATACGTGCATTGTGGAATAATAGATATTGGCTCAAAATGAGATATTGAAAATCATGGAATAATAGATATTGGCTCAAAATGAGATATTGAAATCATAACGTGCATTGTGGAATAATAGATGTTGGCTCAAAATGAGATATTGAAATCATACGTGCATTGTGGAATAATAGATATTGGCTCAAAATGAGATATTGAAATCATACGTGCATTGTGGAATAATAGATATTGGCTCAAATGAGATATTGAAATCATACGTGCATTGTGGAATAATAGATATTGGCTCAAAATGAGATATTGGCATTGTGGAATAATAGATGTTGGCTCAAAAATGAGATATTGAAATCATACGTGCATTGTGGAATAATAGATATTGGCTCAAAATGAGATATTGAAATCATACGTGCATTGTGGAATAATAGATGTTGGCTCAAAATGAGATATTGAAATCATACGTGCATTGTGGAATAATAGATGTTGGCTCAAAATGAGATATTGAAATCATACGTGCATTGTGGAATAATAGATGTTGGCTCAAAATGAGATATTGAAATCATACGTGCATTGTGGAATAATAGATGTTGGCTCAAAATGAGAAATGCATTGTGGAATAATAGATGTTGGCTCAAATGAGATATTGAAATCATACGTGCATTGTGGAATAATAGATGTTGGCTCAAATGAGATATTGAAATCATACGTGCATTGTGGAATAATAGATGTTGGCTCAAAATGAGATATTGAAATCATACGTGCATTGTGGAATAATAGATATTGGCTCAAATGAGATATTGAAATCATACGTGCATTGTGGAATAATAGATGTTGGCTCAAAATGAGATATTGAAATCATACGTGCATTGTGGAATAATAGATGTTGGCTCAAAATGAGATATTGAAATCATACGTGCATTGTGGAATAATAGATGTTGGCTCAAAATGAGATATTGAAATCATACGTGCATTGTGGAATAATAGATATTGGCTCAAAATGAGATATTGAAATCATACGTGCATTGTGGAATAATAGATATTGGCTCAAAATGAGATATTGAAATCATACGTGCATTGTGGAATAATAGATATTGGCTCAAAATGAGATATTGAAATCATCACGTGCATTGTGGAATAATAGATGTTGGCTCAAAAATGAAAGATATTGAAATCATACGTGCATTGTGGAATATTGTGGAATAAGATATTGGCTCAAAATGAGATATTGAAATCATACGTGCATTGTGGAATAATAGATATTGGCTCAAAATGAGATATTGAAAAATCATTGTGGAATAATAGATATTGCAAATTGATGAAATAATGCATTGTGGAATAATAGATATTGGCTCAAAATGAGATATTGAAATCATACGTGCATTGTGGAATAATAGATATTGGCTCAAAATGAGATATTGAAATCATACGTGCATTGTGGAATAATAGATATTGGCTCAAAATGAGATATTGAAATCATACGTGCATTGTGGAATAATAGATATTGGCTCAAAATGAGATATTGAAATCATACGTGCATTGTGGAATAATAGATATTGGCTCAAAATGAGATTCAAATCAGGTTTTTCACATTCACTCACACACACAAATACTGTTGCGAAAGGTATGAATCTATCTCTTACCCTCCTACCTAAGGGTTAAATAGCACAACAGACTTAGTCCTATAGACTTGGTTGGCAACCAGTCTACTGCAGAAAGACACAGCAGGAAAGTTTATCTACTTAGTCATGAATCAAGAGACATGATTTCCCAAGTGTGTAACCTGTTTTGCACTTAACTGACTGAATTTGAAATCAAATAATAAACTCACCTTATCTAATATAAAAATGAAACTATTTTTTTTGTTTTAGAGTATTGCAGATATTCATTTTATATTTATTTCTGTCTGTTTAGTTCTTAATTTCTTTCCAAATATTTTATGTGTCTATCTAGTTTGAATGGAACAAGTTTGTAGATTTGTGTTTGTATCTTCACCCTTTATAATTTGTTCACTTTTTAAAAAAGAAAACAGTTTTATTTTCTTTAATTTTCTGTCTATGAATGTCTTTAACATTCCTTCAAAATATTTCTCTCTCCTTCCCACTGAAAGCAACAAACAGATAGTAACAATTTTTATTTTATAACTGTTAAAGTTCAAACCTGATTGCTGTAGCAAATCACCATGTGCAGCATCAAACATCTATACTTTAAACTTTATTTTTTTCACTTTTATATATTATATTTTGCAGTGGGCAGTAATAGGTTAATTTGGAATTCAGATACATTGTTGAACCGATAAAAAAAGTCTGACTGCCATATTACTCAATTACTAAAATACAACAATTTCTTTATCAGGCTTTAGATAAAGTCTTGGTAAGTCTTGGGTTATGGATTTAGATATCTCAAAGTTGTTTGACAGGATTTGGCATGTTGGCCTCTTCTACAAGCTCTATGGCTATATCTCTGGCTGGATATTTGACAATCCAATCATTCTTAACAAATTGGGTAATGAAGGTTGTGTTGAACAGCTATGCTCCTAGCTCAGTTCATATTAATGGGTGGTCCCCCAAGTCTCTATCTTTGAACCTACTTTGTTTCTTATCATCAATGACCTTTCTGATGTCATCAGTTCTCAACTAAGTATTCATGCTGGTATCACAATTATTTACTCTTGTCTTAAGAGTAAGTTTAATAAGCCCAGTAAAGTAAAACTGGCAGCTACTCCTGAAAATGACCTTTGACTGGAGCAAGAAATGGCTTGCAAAATTTTAATGCCTCCAAAATGAAACTGCTATTCTTTAATCATCTTAGAGAACCATTTTTGCCTTCCATTAGCATGGCTGATGCTAACCTCCAAGAGAGCAACTCATTGCGACTTAATGGTTTCCTGTTTTCTACTGACATGAAGTGGATTGATTATGTTGAATCAGTTGCTAGGTCTGTTGCTCAGAAGGTTAGTTCACTATGTGATGCCAAATAGTTTTTCTCACCAGAATCCATCTTGCACATTTATAAATCGACTATTTGTTCATCCGTACATTGAATATTACTGGTCTGGTGCTTTGGCTATATATCTTAAGATTCTCAACAAAATCCAAAGAAGGGTGTGTAAAGTAATTAGTTCTTATCTGACAACTCAGTTTCAGTTACTTTCTCACTACTGTGACAGGGCTTCCTTTTTTTTCTAAAATATTTTCATGGCAATTGTTATAATGAGCTCTCCCTCTTGGTATCTTGACCATGTGAATTTAAGCATAATACTAGAGTAGCTACTTCAGGATGTAGGCGTTCATAGTCCTCCACATCTTTCTGTCCTTTGTAGCTCTTAATAAATTTTGTCTTTTTGTTATTTCTCCCAATCCCTATTCTACCATCCATTTACTCAAGCCCATCAAGTATGTTACACACAACTATCCTCTGTCCCTCTTATACTCAATCAGTTGTGTGAATATAAGATTTTCCAAGCCTTCTTTCCTCATTATATGCCCCAGAATTTTCAACTGCCTCTTTCTGATGTTAAGTATAAGTTTCCTTTTTGTTTAGGTAACCATAAGTTCTGTTGTAATAGTTTCCTTTCTTGCACTTTTTACCACTGGAATTCTTTTCCAGTTCTTGCTTACCTGCCACCAAGAAAAAATTTAAATACAATGTCAACTGTTATCTTCCAGATTCCTCTTCTTTTATTGTCCTTTCTCATCACTAAAGTCTTCTCATTCTTGTCCACTCTCAGCAACCCCTTGTACCTTAGTGGCATTATCAACTTGCTTGGGGTGAAATGATTTTAAGAAAATAAGATAACAGAATTGAAATATTTAATATTAGTAAATGATGATTTTAATTTTATGTTAAGGAATGTCTTTTGTTATTGAAGCATAGAGAAACATACTCTATTATCCTGCAACATAGCTTTTTATTTTATTATTAGTTTTACTACGTCTGTTAAGTGTTGTTTTTTTATCATTGTTATGAAAAATGTATTGAGTGGAAGTGAAAGAAAGGCTGAGTCCGTATAGCTTGAATGAAGCTTTATTCTACTAGAAATCTATTCCGGTAGCGAACCGTAACAGGAAAATGGCCGACTACTTCATGGAGAGAGGAAGACAAAACAAAGGGAAATAATTCGGTCCTGGAAGGCCAGAGAAAGATTAAAGAGTTCTTCTATTTTCACCACAATCATAATAATCTAAGTTTTATACACTCTTTATTATTACTATTATCTTATTGGTAGTTTTATTCTTGCAACACTCTTTCATTATTATGATTATTCTACTGCTAGCTTTCCGCTATCTTGCACTTTTTTTAAAAAAAACAATTTTGTTTTGTTTAGTTCTCTGTCTATGTATGTCACAAACATACCCTCAAAATATTTCTTTCTTTTTCCCAGTGAAATCAACAAGCAGATATTAACTTAATTTTTATATTATATCTGTAAAAGTTCAAATCTCTGGTTGCTGTAACAAATCACCATATGCAGCATCATACAAATTCCATTTTAGTTTTCTCTCTCTCTCTCTCTTGTTTGCATTATGTTCTCAATAATTGCATCATAGTTTACATTTCTTTTTGGTTTTATCAACTGAAAAGAATGAAAACTATTTAAAGTTGACTATTTTTTCTCTTTTGCTAATCAGATCGGATCAAATGTTTTGTTTGGTTCTTGTTGTCGATGAAGATTTCAGAAATCAAAAGAAATTGACACAGGAATTTCACAGATTATTTTTCAAGCATCCAGATTTAATACTGCAAATAGCATTTCTCTTCCAAAAGGAACAATAAGAGAATTTTGATCTGAAATATTCGTTGTAAAAATATTCAGGCTATGAGGCTAAGGGAAAATTGTTTGATTAAGGGCATTGACAGGAAATATCTGAACAAATATTTGTTGCAAAAAAGTAAAGGGTTTTCTAAAAATTTACCTACCTACATACCTACCTATATATATATATATATATATATATATATATATATATATATATATATGTGTGTGTGTGTGTGTCTGTGTGTGTGTGTGTTGGGGGGCATTTATGAGTGTTGACTTCTGTCTGTTTCATGCTAATTGCAATTGTCAGGCTAAATTACATGATATTTACATATATATATATATATATATATTTGTTAGGCTATATTATATTTACATATATAAACACAATTTCTCTTGCAATATGAGCAATAAGCTGCAGCTGAATTTTTCATCATTTGAAAAATCTGTTATACTTGTCGGAATTACTGTTCCCCAAAATAAAACAATCCACCTATATGAAAAATACAATTCTGTATTGATTTGATAAATTTTGAAAAAAAACTTCTTTAATGTCAGAAAAGATTTAAAACTTTCAATAGATGAGCCATGTCTGTTAGACACTAGGCAGAATTTCAAAAGAAATAATGTCTTTGTTGCTCTAGAAAAAAGTAACCCTTGAATATCAAGTAAAATCTTTTAATGAATCATTACCATTTTTACGTGAGTTATTGTATTTAATGGCATATTTTGGATAAAAAAAATATCGCCCTGGTCTTATATGCAAATTTGAGCTATCTGGTAGGGTAATGTTTTCCGAGATTCTGTAGACTACTAGTACTTGTATCTAACAACTCCATAAACTTTTTTATTCTATGTGCTTTGTCTCTCTTGGATGTGGGTGAACATGGCTCTACACAATTTTTTGTCCTTTGTAGATCTTAAGTTAGGAGTGTATCAAATGGTATTTTGATGAGAATTTTATTCCTTCAATTCTGGGGATCATCTTTTTTTACTTTTCTTTTTGGTTGATAAAACAAAAAAGAATAAAAACTATTTAAAAAGGACTTTTCTTTTCTTTTTTTCTAATCAGATAGGATTAAAGGTTTTGTTTGGTCTTTTGTTGTTGATAAAAATTTCAGAAATCAAACGCAATTGCCACAAGAATTCAGGTTTTTTGTTTTGCCTGTATTGTCTGAAATTATCAACTGAATCACTGTTATCATCTTATGCATTTTTCAGATAAATATCTTCATTTATATTTGACCATAACAACCGGGATTACCATGCTTGTTCAAATGTTGGAATCACGTCATGTTCACCACTATTGGGATCAGTCTCCCCAGGTTTTTGTTGCTATCTGCATGTTGAGATTCCACACATCTAGCAGCAACAACAACACATCTTTTAAATGAAACATATAAAAGGTTATTTTCTGGAGGAAAAGGAGAAACCTTAAGTCAGTTGAAATAACATTTATATATTCTTTTCAGAAATATACAATAGCAATAAAATGTTCAACTTCTTTGTGGTGAAGTTTGTTTTATAAAGTAATTAGATGTTCTTAGTGCAATGTAAAATGTATGAACAGACTTACTTTATGATAGTCATCCTAATTTGTTTGTAAGTTTGTAGACA